GATCCTAGCAAGCTTAACTATTTAATGTGTGGGATACTGAGAGCTCTGAGCTAATGTTTATGTGAAATGATAAATTATCTACTGGAGCTGCACAAGTGCTCATACTGCTGCTCTACCCAAAATGGCTCACAAATTCTATCACAAGCTTACGATTTTTAATGATATTTAGATTGATTTAAAATATATGATTTATAATTCCATCGTAAACCCAGGATAGATTAACTTAATCCACTACTTAGATAATCCACCAGCAATCAGGAATTGCATTTGTGTTCAGGGAGGTACAGGCATGTACAGCAGTGTATGAAGTCCCATGACAGCTGTCTCACGAGGCACATGCATAAGGGGCCTCCTCCCACATAAAGAAAAAAGAGCATGTTAACTGTGACTGAGCTTTAAGGGTTAATTGACTAATACATTTCATATTAACACCAAAAATCACCACAGAGGACTGACAGACAAATGAAACATTTCAGTCAGATGTAGTGCCTGAAGGAAACAGTGAACTTTCTGCTTCAGATAACCCTAGCATCTGTGTATGTACCACAGAGAAAATGAATATATCAGTCTCGGGAAAAAAAATCTGAGAAATTCTCATGTTGCCACTGTGTAATGCTTGAGCTTAATATTTTTCTTAACCAAAGAAACAGATTCCAGATCTTAGAAGGGATAGAGAAGACCATATTTCATTAAATTTTCTCTGATGAACAAAAAAACTAAATCAAAGGCAAATAAAGAAGGAATAGTTTAGTGTGGTTCAATGAGTCTCTTTGAGTGCACAGCATGAATTACTTGGAAATACTTGAAATTGTTTAAATTTCAACATCTTGTCTACAAAGTAAAAGAAAATGTGTTTCAGAAAAAGGAGTATGTAAAAGATTTGTGGCTCCTTCTGCTCTCAAAAATCCAAGAAAAAAACCTTCTGCCTCAAAGTCTCTGCTGAAAACTCACAGAATTTGACAAATTTTGGCTGGAGCTTCCACAGCCCATCCCCTCATTTTCTCACCATGTTTAACTTGACTCCAGCTTTTTCATTTTTTATATTTCTAGCCAGTTAATACACTTGACCAGACAGCTTCCATACATAGAAAATAATGTAAAAGACAAAATTACAGTAAAGTGAAAGAAAAAACACTTCAAAATGAACAAGGAGTCCATATGTGCCTAATTTTCTCTGTGTCTCAATTTTGAATTCTTGGGAGTTATCCTCTTATGATCCTAAAAAGATGCCTCAGACAGCTTGTTTTGCCAAAAGGAAAGTTTGGACAAACACCTTTTGTAGTTACTAGAGAGTGGAATTTAAACATTGTTTATGGTCTTTATTATGGTAAGATTTTTTTCTTTTTAATGGTGATTGTTTGGCTTACAACATCACCAAAATGAATCCTGTAATTTGGACAAGAGACTGAAAAGGATGTCTTCACACCTGATCAGGACTATGAAATGTTTCCCCTGTAGCTGTTTTGCTACTTTTCTGGCACGTTTCTTAAATTGCATGTACTTAATGCAATCCCCTGAAAATTAAGAGCAACTTCATGTGGACAGTCAGGGTGGGCAGCTCTGTAAGGACACACCTCCCATTTCAGAGGCTTAACATCAGAAACAGTCAAAGGCTAATTTAACCCCTGTACATGGAGCAGCACCTCTAAAAGTTTGAAGAGAAGTAAGTGTCCCCATGCAGGTCAACTCCACAGTGCCTCCAATGTATCCAATATCCAAAAAAATGAGAACGAAGTGTCTGAACACATTATATACATCCATAAGCTAAGGAAATCCTGTGAATCATTGATGATTAAACATTAAAACTCCTGTTGTGGTTTAATCCCAGCTGTCAACAAGGTATCACACAAGCATTTTCTCACTCCCCCGCTGGGATGGGGGAGAGAAGAGGAAGGATAAAAGTGAGGAAAGGCAGTGGAATAGGTAAAGTAAAACCTTGTGCACATGCAAAATGTCACAAGGAATTAATTCACCACTTCCCATGGGCAGACAGGTGTTCAACCATTCCCAGGAAAACTTCTCTCGACCACACATAACAGTGACTTGGGAAGACAAATGCCTTCACTAGAAAAGTCCCCCCTATTCCTTCTCCTTCCCCCTGCTTTATGTGCTCAGCACGATGCCATACACTATAGGATTGTCCCTTGGGTCACTTGGGTCAGCTGTCCCAGCTGTGTCCCCTCCCAGCTCCTTGAGCACCCCCTGTTTGCTGGTGGGGTGGGGTGAGGAGGAGAAAAGTCCTTTACTCTGTGAAAGCTCTGCTCAACAACAACTGAAACATCCCTCGGTTACCAACCTGTGCTCAGCACAAATCCCAAACTCAGCCCCATATCAGCTGCTGTGAAGAAAATTAACCCTTCCAAAACCAGCACAACTCCCAGATCCGGAACAAGAGTGGTTAGTTGGAAAGCCTTGATGTTAAAAAGGTAAATGCTATGCTCTTACCTCATGTGCTCTGATCCATTTACTGTGTTAGATAAACAGCATTAATCCACACAAAGCTATTGTAGTGCCTAATGGAGTTGTGAATGACTGTTTTCTCATAGGTGAAGAGATTTCATGGGATTAGTCCTAATCAGGTACTTTAGGTAATGAGAATCTCTCCATCCAGCATTGAACAAAGCCACACAAAATGGTTCTTTCCCCATATCTCAGCAGGGTTTGGATAGACAAAAAGACAGATTAAGGAAATGTCTGAGCAAGGAATACTTTCATTGCTTCAATAAATAATTAAAAAATCAGGACAAGTCTAACTTCATAGATAGTGCAAGGTACATATTTACTCCAATTCAGTGCAAAACCATACAGAAAAATCTGGCAGATTAAAATAATCTGAGTTCATTCCTCCCATGTTTTAGACATTCTTCAAATTGTGTAGTCATTGCATTTCATTAGACAAGTGGGCAGTTCAGTTTTATACATCCAGTTCATATTCCATTTAAATGAAAAGCAATATATTTATTAAAATATAAATTTGTCAAAAAAGCTTAATTCTGATAAATTTATTTAACATAGTATTTCTTTGTGAATATGTCCATTTATGTTATTGAAGTGATTTATTTTCTCAAACAAAGTAATACCAAAACTCAGGATGTAAAATAAATATATAAAACCGAGCTTCTAATGCTCATGCAAATCTCATACACATATACTGGATATCTGCTAAAACATACTAAAACATAATAACCTATTCAAAAATATTTCCTTTAAAGCAATTGCCTACATTTAATATTTAAGCCTTAGGGGAAAATTAAAGCAACAACATTTTTACTGCATAACATTCTCATAAAACATGGATGAATGCTTCACCTCTGATAAAACAACATGCATCAGGAATTTATTGTATTAAGGTACTAGCAGATCAGGGAACAAAGAAAATCATGTTCAGAAAGAGGAGAAAGATGATTTGTTGATTAAGAAATAAAGTAAAACCCCAAGCAAATCAACAACAGATTTTAAAATGAGTGCTATTATTGCCCTATATAGCCTTCAGATGTTATTGAAGATACCAACTTTTCTCTAGCCCTATTTTTTTTACCTCTATGCATTTTCAAATCAGATAGACAAAATACTCCCAAGCAAGCAAAAAGGGAGGAACAGATCAAAGACAATAAAGCATGACAGATAAAGGCAGAGCTATCTCATAATAATAAAACACAGGAAAACAATTCACTTTTCATCAGGTCATGTGGTTCATGGACTGTAGGAGCAGATGATATTCAGATACTAGCATGGAATTATAATACTGTAGGAGGCTTGAAATGGAATTAAAATACTGTAGGAGGCTTGAAATGCTAATTCATGCTAAAATTGTATGTTTGAATAAGCCCCTCAGCTTAATCATTGAAATCAAGTTGAAACATGGGTCAACTTTTGCTATTTTAAAAAAAATTAAATAAAAACTCCAGTGATGTCTTCATGTGAACTCATCACAGAAAACTAACAGAGAATCAAAATGGTCTAGGGACAGCATTCTGGATATACAAATTACTGGTAAAAAGGTAACTCTTAGCTGTAGTAATGGCAGAGGAATTTTGGCCATTATCCCCTTAGACAGTAGGGGATCCATGGTTTTGTTTCTGATCACAAACTGTACTTTTGTGAATATTTGTTAATAGTATTGAATAAGTAAACATCAAAAGCATATAAAGATTTTTTTTTAACATTTCAGTGTGTCTAGCCCAAGAGTGTAGAGATACCTGTAATTTCAGATATTGTTTCAGAACATTCAGGCTCCTCATAAAGGAGTATGGATGACCCATAAAAAAACCCAAACCAAACCATAAAAAAATAGTCTAGAACCATAAAATACAAGTTAAAACACCACCAGAGGGAGAGTTAAATGCAGAATTATTTTTGTGCAAAAATGGTGAAATGGCAGTGAACCTAATGGCAAGATATGAAATGCATTAAAGAGAGACAAAACAGAGCTCTATGGAAATTTAAAACTGATCTGAAGATGGAAATGGCAATGAGGATTAAAACTGCAGGCAGGAAAAGAAGCTACCCTTTTTATTGGTTCACGATGTTCTCTGCATTCCTGCTGGCAATTATACTCTAGGGTGGCAATCAGTCATCAGGAACATCCGAAAAGAGTAATATCCACTGTAATGGAAGTTATTCCATTCATACTTGTGTGATGAGCCATTTCCATGGTCCAGAATTAATTTCTTCTACATCAAAAGTACTCAAATCATACCACACTAGTGTTTAAGCACAGTGAGACTCATAAACCTTAAGAATGACATTTCAATCACAGTTAAATAAAAGTCAGAGGGAGCTTAAGCTCATTTTTAATATGAGACATATTAACGTTTATTTCAAACACTGGCCTGGATATATTGAAAAGGAATATTCAGCAACGGGAAGTCTATGGAGAGGCCATGTATTTTGTCTTGCGTTATAAGGAGAGGCATATTTAATTTATCAGACTGCTTATTAAAAAAAAAACCAAACCCACTGTTCATTTATTCCGTTTTTTGCATCTCCTTAGCTCTTACCTTCCAGACTCAAATGTAAACCATGTTGAGTCACGTCCATATCTCCTCAAAGAGCTCAGAGGCCACATGACCAGCTTGACCTTGGCATTGTGGATGTCCCAGAGATAGATGTTTTCATGTGTGATCTGCATTGTACATTCCCCATAGATATCTAAATTTGGTGTAGGCATAAGGTATACATTGAATCGTTCTGGAAAAAAACACAAAGTAAGACATCACAAGTTAAAGTAAGATTTTATGGGAAATAAAAATGGAAATAGAAATGAAATAAATTATTAAAACTGGAAAAAAAAAAAAGAAAAAAGAAAAAAGAAAAAAGAAAAAAGGTCTTTAGTTCTGATGATCCAGAAATCAAAACCAAATTTTTGGCTTTAACGGAGGTGAGGATCCACTTTTTTACCCTCACACTAAGGTCCATGACTCTTTACAAATCAAAATTCACAATAATGAGAACTCTGACAGAGACTCCTCTCTCAAAGAATAGAACTAAAGGTATCCTTGAAAAATATGTATGTGCAGCCATCACCTCTTGGAAAAGCTGTCCTTGAAATTGCAAATCCAAGTTTATTTGTTGAAGCTTGTAAATAATTACATTCCTTGCGTTCAGTTTCTGTTTATTTGCCAAAGTAATTCATATTTTCAAAATTAATAACAATTTTAATCATCTGTTGCTTTCTTGAAACATCTGATTCAATATGATATATTATTATGGTCATGACATCAATCACTGTCAGCTGCACTTTGCTTGCAAAGTGCACTTATTGCAGTAGGAGGTCAAGGGCATTAATAATTTTCTGAAGTGCCTGAATTGCATGGGATTTAATAAGCAATGCAAAAAAAAAAAAAAAAAAAAAAAA